TACCTGTGATTTCTCGACGGAGGCGCTGTGTTTGTCGCACATGGGGCTGATCTCCATCCCCCTCTCCCTCTCCCGATCTCCCTGGCGGAAAAACTCCTCCATGATCCTCTCTGTCCACTGGCGGTACAGGGCCAGGGGCTTCGTGGGGTTGCTCAGGTCGGCGCAGTGAACCATGTTCCGCAGCACCTGAACGGGGGGGGGCACAGGGTCACCCCCCCGGGACCCCCACAGGGATCCTGGGACACCCCAAAACTCCTCAGACCCCCCCCCAGCCCCCCCTCCCAGCTCCTGGCCCCCCCCCATGTTCCACAGCACCTGAACGGGGGGGCACAGTGTCACCCCCCCGGGGCTCATGGGACCCCCCAAAACTCCTCAGATCCCCCCATGTTCTGCAGCATGTAACTGGGGGGGGCACAATGTCACCCCCTCGGAGCTCCTGGAACCCCCCAAAACTCTTCAGATCCCACCTCAGACCCCCCTGGGGCTCCTCAGACCCTCCCATGACTTCTGGGACCCCCCCCGGCTCTCCTGGGATCCCCCAAAACTCCTCAGACCCCTCCCCAGGACCCCCCGGGGGCTCCTGGGACCCCTCAGGGCTCTTCAGACCCCCCTGGGCTTTTCAGACCCCACCTCAGACCCTTCTGTGGCTCCTGGGACCCCCCCAGGACCCCACTTTTTGGGGTCCCCCCCACCTGGATGCAGTTGGCGTAGTCAAGCAGCAGGACCCCTCTGGGATCCCTCTGGGACCCCCCAGACCCCCCCAGGACCCCGATTTTTGGGGTCCCCCCCAAACCTGGATGAGGTCTGCGTAGTTGTCGAGCAGCAGGACCCCTCTGGGATCCCTCTGGGACCCCCCAAAACTCCTCAGACCCCCCCAGACCCCCGTTTTTGGGGTCCCCCCCCAAACCTGGATGCGGTCGGCGTAGTTGTCGAGCAGCAGGACCCCCGAGCTCGTCACCTTCTTGGTCTCCACCATGGTCTTGAGGTCGGCCAGGAGGGTCATGTGCTTCGACATGTCCGTGGCCAGGACCTGGGGGGGACCCAAAACTGGGGGGTTCGGGGGTGTCCCCTCGTTTTTTGGGGGGTTCTGGGGGGCTTTGGGGTGGTTTTGGGGTCACTGATTGTGTCAACGACCGTCTGGCGCAAGGGGGTTTCAGGCGTGGTTTTGGGGGGTTCAGGGCTGGGTTTGGGGGTATTTTGGGGTGGTTTTGGGGTATTTTGGGCTTTTACTGACCATGTCAATGACCATCGGTCTCAGGGCTGTTTTGGGGTATTTTGGGGGTATTTTGGGCTGGTTTTGGGGGTATTTCAGCCTCACTGACCATGTCAATGACCATCTGCCTCAGGGCTGTTTTGGGGGGTTTCAGGGCTGGTTTTGGGGTATTTTTGGCCTGGTTTTGGCTCTCACTGACCATGTCAATGACCATCTGCCTGAGGGCTGTTTTGGGGTATTTTTGGGGTGTTTTTGGGGTATTTTTGGGGGTATTTTGGGCTCTCACTGACCATGTCAATGACCATCTGCCTGAGGGCTGTTTTGGGGTATTTTTGGGGTGTTTTTGGGGTATTTTTGGGGGTATTTTGGGCTCTCACTGACCATGTCAATGACCATCTGCCTGAGGGCTGTTTGGGGTATTTTTGGGGTGTTTTAGGTTGGGTTTTGGTGTATTTTTGGGGTGACTGACCATGTCAATGACCATCTGTCTGAGGGCCTGGCGCTGGCGCCGGGTCAGGTTCTGGAAGATGTCGCAGCCTCTCTCCTGCAGGAGTTTGAAGCCCACGGCCAAGTGATGGTTCTCCAGGACTGACTCGTCGTTGTAGAGCAGGGCCAGCTCCGAGTCTGGGGGGGGGGACATGGGGACAGTGAGGGACCCCCAGGACACAGGGAGGGACCCCCGGGACATGGGAAGAGACCCCCAGTTGGAGCTCACTGGTGTTGATGAGGAACTGGTTGGACACCCCGGGGTGGTCGACGTCGTGGATGGCGGCGGCGAAAAGGGCGGCCAGAACCTCCAGGTCCGTGAACACGGCCTGGGGGGCACCACGTCAGGGACCCTCAGCCCCCAGGACCCCCCAAAACCACACCCACCACCCTAAAATGAGGCCCACCACCCCAAAACGGGTCCCACCACCCCAAAACGGGTCCCACCA